TGGGTGTCGCAAACAGTGGCGCCCATGCATCTACTCATTATTCTTGTAACTTCAATCTATGAAAATGTGCTACCTTCCACTTGAATCTGCTCTCAGCATTCTAATGATCATTCTGCTGTTTTATCCAAATGGGCAACCAGAAGACAGCAACCAAAACCGGCGCACGAAAGTGCATGGTTAATGGTTGTAAGAACTGAATTGAAAAACGACACCTGAAACAATCAGTCGCTGGGATACGTATTTAATCACGGGATTCAGGCGGGAATTCAGTGAACACCAAGATTCTTATCAAGCGAAATCAAGGAATCAAATCCATTGGGGGAAATGAGAGTGAAACGGATCAGAAGAAAAACGGATGAATAGAAGGGAGCAAACATCATCCCAAAACTTACGCGACGTTCTAGGGGATGGCGAACTGCAATCCGCTGGTTCTTTATCTGCAGACATATATACGCATATGAATACAGGAGTAATGGGGAATTAGAACAAGAGAGAAATTCCGATAACATATGATGAGTCTACCCATGCTATGGTATCGCAGACGGAGCGAACAGTTCGCAAGTGTTGATTGCGGAGCAGATGAAAGAAACATTGTGGTGTGCAGAACAAAAGGAAATAAATGCTAGGAGAGGCCAGTAGAGAAAAACTGAAAATAAAGTACCAAGTGGGCAACTTCTGCGGATAAATTGTCTAAAATAGTTAACAAATCTGATAGACAGACACAGTCACTGGTGGTACTTGATTTCAAGAAAACATCAGAACGAAAGACAGTATATTCTATGGGGGCTGTAAACAGAATCATGGATTATGTACATTTTGGGCAATGCAATTAGCGCCACAATGTACTGCAAAGAAAATTCGAAATGTATCGTGCGCTGTTGAACTCACTGTTTTCATCAAACAATGTGAAAACCACATCAATCACGTGAGGTGACAGATTCACATTAGCAACAGTCAACGCGACATGTTTCAGTGTGGCTTGATCGATAGCAGCACCAGCCATGTGGTGAAAGGTCAATGCGGTATCCACATCTGAGATGGACCGGAGCAGTAAGTTGAAATCGGCGAAATCACGATAGGTAACTCCCTGAGAAGCGCGGAAGTGTGTATGAGAGAGAGAAAGAGGAGGGAGACAGAGAGAGAAACGACAACAACAACCTGAGCATGACTGCATTCTAGAGTAAGGCGAGAAACTCGAACAGATCCCAATGCACATGGCACATTTTTCAGTTTAGTCTATATAACCGTATTCTTGTAACAAGTCGAGGAAGCCTATCTAATGGCATGCGTAACGCATGCTCCTACCAAAGTAATCCATAGAAGTCAAGTACTTGTTCCGGTGCGCAACCGCGATTGTTTAAAACATTGCGTCTAACCTCAGCACTGTTTACTTGGGTGCCCCACTAAACTTCTGCCCAGCAGCGAACAGCAGTATTCGAACAGTTCGATTTTATTGTTGTCTTTAAACCAAACTAGAAAGCCAGTCTGACCGCTGCAGCGTACAGCCGATTGTTCACGGATGACAGAATGCCACGGCTTCCAGCTTGCATAGACCTTCACTTGGTAGCAACTTCCAATTGTGCACTTCACATCAATACTGATATCCTACCACGAGGACAGGGCCGTTTCCAAAATCACATACGAAGTAGAACAGAAGGGGTGGGATGGCAGTCATGAGGAACGCCGTCTTCGAGGTGGAATCGGGTGAGAAAGAACTGAAAGCTCGAACTTAGTTTTCGATATTCCTGTGCAAGGATTATAAAATTGAAGTGAGCTTATCCAGAAAATCCTTCAAGGAGAGATGCGGTTGACTGATTCGAAACCCGCCTTGAGATCAAAATGAAACTGAAGACAGCGGAAGGCCTTTGATGGAATTTTGTTGAAAGGTAAATGGATTTCCTCAGCATCACAGATTCCTCCACAGTGGCACTGTTTGGAAATTTCGGTTTCGAGGCATGCTCAGGAATTCAACGGAAAACTTCACTAATTCCCTAATCGTTCTCTTCCTTTTTGCCTTTTATGGTGCCCGTTTCAACGTATCGTTCGGCCCGACCAATCGATTGTGGATGATGCAGAGTCCACATATTGGATACCGGCAGGAAACGGAAACAGACAACAATAAGTGCTATCCTAGGGAACAGACAAGACACAAGAAATCAGGTAAGGAATCGATAGCATGGGGGCTGACTGACTCTCAATTCCTCGCGATCGTAATTGGTTTACTTTCTCAAAGCAATAACCAGTTTTTGGTAACAGCAATTCAGTTCCTTGTACCAAGCCATCCACCAAATACTATCCTCAATTGATAAGTCAATGCATGCCAAATGTGCCTAATCTTACCTTACTTTTAGGCGACTTGTCCCAGTGTGAAACAAGTCAACTCTACAAAGGAATCCATAAAGAACCTTGGGAATGTAGTATCAATTAGCATCCCAGCATCACTTACGCCCAACCAGGAATGAAGTTATCTATTATCCCCTAAATACGCCCGATACCAAGCATGGAGAAAAATACTCCGCACAGCATTTCGATATTCATTCATTGCAAAGAATATTTCAAGAAGAGAAAGATGCGTACCGGTGGATTCTCAGATTTCGGGAACTTTTGCTTCACCCTGCGTATCATTTTACGACGCTTCTGTTCCGAGAATCCAGCGTAGGTTAACAGGAAGTTGGAGAATTGGACCTCGGTGATTTTTCCATCCATGGGTGAAGAACGATCGAACTAGATTGCACAATGAACAAAAATCAGAAGGTAGGCAAAATCGCGATTTGTTTTCATTGAATAATATACGGGATTTACGCCAGTAAGAGTTAAAGATCAATAGGAAAATAGATCTGTCGTATGCCTATAGACAACAAGATTCTAAACTCAATTTCGCCTGTTGGCCGAGCTTGGCAATTTGTTCGCAAACGTCTCAGCAGCAGCCGAGGTGACATTGTCAGTGCTTGTGAAGTGGCAGTGATCTGCTTGTACCTGATTGCTTATATATGTTCATCCTCCTTGTTCTCACTTTATTCGACTTAGTTCGCCATTGAACTAGTGCGAAGGAATGAATGCGGGGGTGGGAGGTTATTCCTTCGTTTCGATTGCGGTTTTGGCTC